GGGGGGGGGGGGGGGGGGGGGGCGGATGATGGAGATGATGGCGGTGATGGTGGTGGGATTTGATGCGGGGCGGGGGCCAGGCAATCTGCAGGCACTGGGGGCTCGGTGCAAGGTGGCCACCCCACGGGGCCACTCACATCGTGCGCCAAGCTGGAGAGCTTTCCTGTGAAGCCTGCAAAGGCGAAAGCCGGTGCCGCGGCGGCGGCAGCAGCGGCACCCTGCAGCGTGGTCAACACAAACAAAATGGACAGTGCCACGACAGTGGCGGCGGCGCGCGCAGTTGGAGGCATCTTTGAGGGCGCGGTGCGAGTTAATCACGCAAGGGGTCGTGCGAATATATTTTAATATGCCCCACCATCCGTGAACGCCCCTTAAGACGCCAGAAAGGTGCGACCCACCCACTGGGCACCGACCACCCAGCGAACAGTAGCTGCCAGCTCCGTTTTGTCAGTGGCACTCTGTCACTAGAGGCACGCTGTACAGTGGGACCAAAATCACGCAACGAACGCATTTTGTGCTCGCAGCTGCTACCGGTAATGAGGACCGCCAGCATCATGGGATTGGATGTACCTCATCATCGCAATGTGCTGCTGTTTTGCACGGCTGCTACCGTACATCCCCCGCGGCATAGCACCCATCATGTTCATGAGGGTTTATAACTCCGTTGAAATAATGAAACCTTGGCAGCGCGTGTGTCACACATGGCACCAAAGTGCTAGACCTGTCCGAGCCAAACAGCACCACCTTGCCCATGCGCATATTCTACCCATGCGATCGCCGCGAGTGTGCGCGCAGCCATGCTTGGAAGGGTTTGGATCCTTTGAAGCAGGTGTGCAGCAATCACTTTTCAACGCAGCGAGCGGACTTGCACCACAGCCGCCAAGAATTCGCAGTGACAAGGCTCGCATGCGCACTGCCCTGCGCTTGGCGCCCTGGCACCGATTGCAGGTGTGGCTCACTTGTGGCTGCGGTTGCGGTTGCGTGTGCACTGCAACAACTCTTTTTTTACCTGCCTGCGTGATGCCAGATCCGTGATATCCTTTGGCCCTGCACTATCTTGACTCGTTCACTGGACTGAATGGACCCAGCTGAAGAAGCCGGGCTGTGCAGCAAGGGCATATGCTGCCGTACGCGGTTGTTGCTGTTTTGACTCGACACTTGGTCAGCATGGGTTTGGCGCCGTGATCGCTGTACCTCCGCCCCCCTGCTTGTCGCCGGGGCCGACATCTGGCTAATGAGCCGTCGGCCGTGTGCAGTCTAGCGGCCCTGCAGCTGCACTGCTGCCGGCGGTCATGCATTTGTCATCTCATCATGTTGATGCCGATGGCCGCAAAACGGTTGACTCCTGCAGTATTCTATAATGCATGTGCAAACAGTTCAGCAAGAGGAGCGAGGGGCTCATGTGTCGTGCGGGCACACGCTCAGTTACCTGCACACACGCTGGCTTGTTTTGAGAGCTTTGCAGAAGCAGCACGCACCCCGCCCGCACACGCCCCAAAGGCCAGGGCAGTCATGCGCTGGCAGCCTAGCGTTTGCTTGGCTGGATGTATATGGAAACAGGTGTTTGCAGCGCGCACCCACGTGCCGCTTTGCGCAATTTGCTGTTGGTGAATCACCTCCAATTTCCTTGCCATTCACGGGCGGACTGTTTACTATACAAGTAACAAACAAGGCCAAGCAAAGGGTTTGCTGCTGATATTCGTGGGCAGCCGCATGGTATGATGGCATGGAAAAACCTCAATCTTTTCTCTTGAAATTGCATCAACAGCACCCAGCAGCATCAAAAACGGTCCGCCCTGACTTCGTGGATTGCTTTGGGCTGGTGGGCTTTGACCATGCCCGGCAAATGCAGGTCTGAGTCACCACCATCTGAGACTCGCATACCTATCGAAACTGGTCAAGGAAGAATGAGTACCACAAGTACCATCGCCGGCTGCAATAATGCAAGGCTCATCGTAGCCACATTGCGGCATGGCTGGCCCAACCAAGCGCACAGCCATCCCGCGGTCCATCTTCCACTAAGCGGGGCTCCAGGCCTGAGGCTGCCCAAAAGCACTCCTGATGGCCGCCTAACGAACGAGCCCTGCCGCAGCCGCCGCCGCGACCGCAGCTGCACCCAGCAGCTTCCGGCCACCCTGAGCGCTGCTGGTGGCGGGGGCGCCTGCGCGGTGGCCGTGGTGGGAGCGTGGCGCTGGCAGAGTGAGTTGGCGGTTCCGCACAGATGGACGATTGGGCAAATCCACACAGACAGGTGGGCCCCGCCCCTCGCAGACTCCCCTTGCATGCATGAAAGCGGGATCCAAAGTGTTCAGCCTTGCAAACAACCACCCACCCTATCTACCCTATATTAACGCCCCCTTCACACGCCCATCAGCAAGAGGCGGCTCACCCGCACCCGTGCCCCCCGCCCCTCCCCGCCTGCAGCCGTGGCCCCCGCCCACGCCGCCGCGCATGGGATAACTTTCTCACCTGATTTGGCCTTTGCCCCGGGCGGGTCAGACACCTCAATGCGCCACCCGAGCTTTTGGTGCTCGTAACAGCCATAGTATATGACGGTCGGCGTCTTCGCGTCGGGCGTCCACTTCAATAGGTATGGCTTGGAGGCCGTGCCGTGGGCGGCCTCGCCGCCGGCGTAGACCACCTCGGTCGCATTGGCGTTGCCGCCGATGGACGAGCTTGTCAGGTACAACGGGTGGGTCTCGCCCGCCTGCAAGTGTGGGACGTGTTGGAGGCCCGCGCGCGCGCGTTGAGTCGCGCTGATGGTGACACTTGAGTGCTCGCGTCTAGTCAGTATATTTGCGCAATCATCAGATAAAAGGGGGGGGCCTTGACAGGACAGTTTCCAATCAGGCCGGCATGCCACTCCTGCTGTCATTCGCTGCCTGTGGCGCGTGGCTTGTGGCGCACTTTGAATGCACCCCAGGAAGGCCAGGCAGTCCGCGCGTTGGTTTGCTCGGGATCCCCATGCGACAGACGCAGCAGCAAACTGCAAATGCTCAGGGGAGGCCCTGCCCAGCAGCACTCGCCTTGATCTTGAAGGTGTAGGTGGTGCCCCGCAGCACACGCAGCACAGGGCTCTCGCGGCCGTTGATCCAGTAGCTGAGGCCCCAGCCCGGCGGGTTGGGGTAGTTGAGGTTGGTGCCGATGGTCACGTCAAACGCGGTCACGCCTGCGGGAGGGGCGGCGGCGGCAGGTGCGCGAGGTGGGTGCGTGGGAGGCAACAGTCGGCGCCCATGGCGGCCTATGAGACTGGTTGGCCACCAGGTGCGGCGTTCGGTAGCTGGGTGCGTTGTGGTTGCCAGGGGGTGGGCGTCTCGCGGGTTGCGCACTACACCTGCGGGGTGTTGAGAGGGGTGCTGCAGAACGGCTTTGCAGCACGTATTTTCATACCCGCAGTGGATTCCCTGCAGGCTATCTGCTTCCCATGTGCTGCACTCAAACGGGACGCAGTAGTAACCCCGCAGCGGCAGAGGACGCGCACCTGACAGGGTCGCCACCGGCTGCCTCGCCCCTTCCGGCGCTGGCAGCAGGCCGGTGCCAGCACTGGCGCTGGTTGGGGCCGCGGTCAGCGGCTTGGTGCAGGTGGAGGGCGTGCCAAAGCTGAATTGGAGGCTTACAGGGACCTCTGGGCTGTGGTTTACGGGGCCGTGGTACAGCACCGCAGGCTGTGCCACAGTGGACCCCTCCGCCAAGGGGCCCGTCGCAAACACCACAAACGCAGGCGAGGGGCCGGTGGGCCAGTCCCGGTCAAACCTGGTCAAACGGGGTGATCGGCACCAAAATGAGTTCAAGGAAGGCAGGATTTTTTTGGTGCTGAAGCAGCCCTGCGATCGTCAGCCATCTGACAGTCGAGAAGGGGCCAGCTGTGAGATGCAAAGTTGCCAGGCCACGAGCCCAGACCTGCATGCATTAAAAACAGCACAGTTCTGGGTCACTGGATTCGCCAGGCCCGCGGCTCCCTCGACCCACTGTCTGCCCGCGCCACGCGCCCACCTGTCGCTCGCCGCTGCCGGGCGAGAGAACGTGACGGATATGACGCCGCCCTCCTTCTTCGCCGCCAGCAGCTTGACATTGTTGGCCGCTGGGGACCCCGGGGGGACGCCGAGCAGCCCCGCGTCGGGGCACACGCCCTTGTTGGCGCCGGACGCGTAGTTGCACTGTTCATGGGATCCAAGGTAGTAATCGACGGCAAACGGCTCGCCTGAGGGGAGGATCCCTGGAAAAGGGTAGCGAGCGGCGATGGAGAGAGCACAAACGTTTTTGGAGGCATGGAGCGCAAAAGCAGCGTGTAAGACGGCACGCATGTGATTGCACACAGCCAGGCGGCCACGGTCATAATAAAGTTTCAGGAAGGGAGCAGGCCCGATAAAACGGCCATAAAAAAGCGAGAAACTGCGCAGGCTGCCGGTGGCCGGTTGAGGGGCAGGCAGCAGTGGTCAGTCAGGCCGACCAGCAAACCGCCAGACACCAGTGGCTTTGTAGTCTGACCCATTTCCGGCCGCATCACAGGCGCGTTGGGCTGCTCAAAAGCACACAAGCCCACCTGCAACGACGACGTCGGACCCGATCATAGCGCTCCTCTTCTTGGCGGGGTCTGCGAATCCAAACGCCATCCAGCTGCGGGGCGGCAGGCCGGACGCAATGAGCGTGGCGTTGATTGTCTTGGACCCCGCGACGCTCTGCAAGCGCAATGGTGTTTGCAAGTTCGGATTGTGGTTGGTTTGTATGTTTCGTTGGGTTTTGCGGGAGCCACAGGTTGTTTGCACACGCGGTGAGGTGCCTGAAAAGCCATTGGGTGGCGGTTGGCACGCGCCTCATCCCACTCGCCTTGCCCCACTCTTTTCGCAAATGGTGAAGCCGGGCGGGGTTGTTGCCAACTAGGCCGCATAATAGCATATGTCCCCCACCTTCGGCCACACGATTTGAAGAGAGCCGCTGAGAAGCTCGCGGCAGTATGTAGGTCCGGCTGGCAGCACCGACGTCATCTTCATAGTGGGATTACCGCCAGCACGAGTGACATCAGTGGGCGATGCAGTGACTGCAGCACTGCCCGCCGTGGTCTTGGCAGGTGCACCAAGGACCACATGCCCAAAATCGGCCTTGAAAACTTCGCACCACACAGCCAGTATGCGGCAGTTGCCCGACAGGTTGGCGTTTGGGACGATCGGCACGGACACCTGCGTAGGATATGTGTGTGTGCGTGCGTGCATGTGTGTGTGTGTGTTGTGTGTGCGCGCGCGTGTGTGTGTATATGTGCGCCCGCGTGCATCTGTGCTTGTTTGCATACATGGTCATGTTAGCTGGCCCATCTCGCCTTTTCAAATGACAGAAGGCCCATAGCAAAGCAAAGGTGGTGCAAGATACACCAAAGCGTCGCCGCCGCTGTCGCGGTCAGAGCCAAGCCGAGCAACCGGCTCACCTGTTCCCCGTTGTAGGCGCGCGTCAGGCGCGCGGGCGCCGCGCGGAAGCCGGCGAGCAGGTCTGCGCGCGAGTTGGACTCGGCGCACCACCAGTGGGCGGCCGGGGCAGCGCCGTCGTAGCTGGGGTGGTGCGGGTGGGGTGTTGGGGGTCGGGGTGGGAGG